TGTGTATGCTTCATCCTCGTCTACGTCGACGATGTTATTATCACCGGGAATACTCCTTTCTTTGTTCGGCAAGTGATACATCGCATTGGGACTGAGTTTGCTATTCATGATCTTGGTGACTTACATTTTTTTTTGGGAATTGAGATCTTTCGTCGTCCGCAAGGCTTAGTCCTTTCTCAGCGAAGATACATTCTTGACATGCTCCAATCCGCAAATATGTCTTCTTGTAAACCCTGCTCTACTCCAATGGTTGCTGGTAGTATCCTTTCCCGCTTTGATGGGTACTCACTCAATGCGGATGATTCGGCGACTTATCGTCATTTGTGTGGGAGTCTTCAATATGCTACCCTTACGAGACCCAACATTTATTTTGCTGTCAACAAATTGTGCTAATTTATGCATCAACCCACCTCCATTCACTTCCAAGCTCTCAAAAGGATTCTTCGGTACCTCTAAGGCACTGCTGATCGCGGATTATGGCTCCGTTCTTCGCCATTACGTGTTGTCTCAGCGGATGCCAATTGGGCCGGATGTCCGGATGACCGCAAGTCTACCACCGGTTTTTTTATTTATTTTGGTCCCAATTTGATTGCGTGGACGTCTCGAAAGCAGCCAACCGTTGCCAGGTCCTCCACTGAAGCTGAATTTATTCTCTGTTACAAACGTATGTGTTGAACTTCACTGGCTCTGACATCTTCTTGCTGAACTTCACTGGCTCTGACATCTTCTTGCTGAACTTGGTGTTCCTTTACGTGCTGTTCCTATGGTTTGGTGTGATAACCATGATGAGGTCTTCTTGGCTTCAACTCCTGCTTTCCGAGCTCGAACAAGACACGTGGAGGTTGACTTTCATTTCATCAGGCAGCATATTAATCAAGGCTTTGTGTCGGTTCGAAGTATCTCCGCTGCTGATCAATTGGCGGACGTTCTCACCAAGCCGTTAGCCAGCTTCCGTTTCTTCAGTTTCTTGAAAAACTACGATTCCTACCGACTCCATCTTCAGTTTGAGGGGGCGTGTTATAGTTATCATTGAGTTATAGTTATCATGTTATAGATTGAGATTGTATAGATGTTGAACTCTATCTATTGTACTTATCTTCTATGATGTACTGTAATATATGTGATATAATCTCAATGAAAGGCAATCAATCTGATCATTTCTCAGTATTCAACTCTGCGTAGTAAAAATCTTTTGTCGTATGAAGGTCATCAGATGAAGGTCTTACCTTTTAATGTTGGAAGATGAAGCGGTCACGAAGTCCAGGTGGCGTAGTGCACTAGGAATCGTTCCCATCACTGGTTGAAACATTTTTTTTTCTTTCTTTTCTCGAATCCAATAATGTAGTTCTTCAAAAGTCAGGACATCTTAAATGTTTAAAGGATTCACGTTGAGGATTATTTTTATAAATCTTTTTAATATCGATTGAAGTGTATGCCTACTTAGGATTAATTTTTGCTGTGATTTTTTTCCCTTTTCTACCGGATGAAAGAGTAGTACGTTCAATGTGGTTGATTTGATTAATCAAACAGGAAATGATGTTTGTTGTAATAGGCATCAATGCTTATGAAGAAGATGTCTGATTCTTGTTGCCGCGATGAGGAATTATTGTTTTAAATCTCAATTCCCATTTATCAAACCGAAATATTAAGGACTAAATCAAACTCGTCATAATTTGGCGGATAAAATAAAGTCATGCTCTAAGTAAAACTACATAGTTTTAATTAAAATAACACCTTCAACAATTAATCAAATTTTCATTTTTACTCTTTAAACTCTCATCTATCATCGGCTCAAGCTAAGCCAACTTTTTTCTCAATATTTGATAATTACTTAATCTTTTCACTAGATACTTGGCCCGGACGAGGCCTGTCTTCTAACTTGTTTAAATGAAAAAAAGAAAAGAAAAGAAACAAATCATACAATAAAAATGATACACATTTTATTATAATATGAATGACATATAGAATTCGATGACATCCCATGCCAATGCAAGGCCCCAGCTTGATATATCAATAGATCTAACAAATAAGTGTTCATGAGTACAATATTACAAATGTTGGTTCTAAAAATCATGCAATCAGTTGATAGTTTCTGCTTCTCCTGCAGTGTTGTGGTCAATTAACTGCTTGCACGGTGTTTTGAAGTGCTTCTATCTGGCTTCATAAACCAATATTAGCAGTCTGATTTTGCTAAACATTTCAATTAATTGACAGGATGAAACTGCACTCTAAAGCATCCAAAACACCACTCTGTTGGCTCCTTTTACCATTGAGACACATAAATTTCACCGAGAAAAAGGAACATTGCTGAAAAGCTTAATACACTTGTTTAGTACTCAGAAAAACATCTCTAATGTGTAAACCACTAAATGAAAATCAAACACAGAGTGAAACTTAAGTATGTAGTGCTGTGACAAAAAACATAACATTGGCTTACATATATAGGGCTCTGAGTAACTTAAGTTTGAAGTTAAAAGCTGAAACAAAAACACAATGAAATAGATAGAACTCTACCTCATTCCCAAGTTGAAGCAGCACTTACAAAAGAACACTGTCTCATTACAAAAGAATCCAATGCCATCAGATGTATAAAAGGTATCAATAATTGTTCCCTTTTTTTAGAATTAACATACCAACCCGGGTAACCGAGCCATCGATGTACACTTTAATTTTTATTTTTATAATAAAATATGAAAAAAAATAAAAACCATGCAGATAGATTTAGTGCAGGTTCACGTTACGATGAAATCCATTAGAACATACATCCTGGGGATTATAACATATATCAGGATTCCTTTTGCTATGTCATCAACAATACAAAATCTGCTAAACTGATAAGTGATAAAGAGATCAAGGAATAGAATATGTCCACTGATAAACAAAAGAGGGCAAGAGGAATAAAATCAGCACAACTCTGTGTTATCCAAACCAGCCCACTTCTATCAATGCTTTTAAGCACCAGCAGAAAACTAAGAACCTCATCATTATCATGTATTTCCTGGTTTTCCAAATGAAGATGTTGCAACATGCTAAACTGCCCAATTGCTCCAAATACTTTATTGATGTACAAATTAGATAGCTTTAAAGATCATCACTCATTTTTCCTTGAACAAATTAACCTTGTGGAGTTAAAAATATGTAGAAGTTGAAGCATGTGTCAATAAAGATAATGGTCATGGCTTGTACCTCAAAGAACAACTCGTGCTCAGCATTAGCCTCAAAGGAATCCATCATACATCTTTTCAAATGTTCAGCACAGAGAGGTTCAAAGGCTTCCATTTGCTACTGTTTGTTACCCCCAACAATTGTAGGTAGCAGGACGCATAAATCATCTCCTTTCTTGAAATCGCTGATGGACAAAGCAAAGCACATAATCAATTTTTCCTGTAAAAATCACACATTTATCGACAACATCAAGATTTCTATTGAAAAGAATGATGGGGTTCACGCAAATATCAATCGAAGCATTGTCAATAAGAATTCAAGAATCAATGAGAAAGATCTCAAAAAAGCCAACAAAGACTGGATCTTTGGATCACGAAAAAGAAAAAAAATCCATTTACAATAACAGTAAAGAAATAGTAGTAGAGGCAAAGTAATTTACCATGTTTTTGTCAATATGCATGAGGTCAATGTCTGCAATTCACTCTACTTGTTCATATCTCCTTAAAGTATTGGAAACCATAACCGAGACGATGTCCAAATTGTACTGCAATTTCTTACCTGGGCATTTGACATATTCATACAATCACAGCCGAAACAGTATTTCATCCTCCTTTGACCGCAAAAATTTCGATAAAAATGCAGAAAAAGCCCCCTCCAAACAACACTGGATGCCTGAACAAAAGCTGAAAGTGAGAAATTGAGTTAAAGGAACATAGAGGGGCGGAGAAGTTTAGAGAAAACTGGAAAAAACAATGGAGAAGGAATAGAATATGCACACAAATTCTGCAGCGAATTGTTTTTTACAGATCTAAAACTCACAATCTTTTACAGACGTAAATCACAATCGGTGTAGCCTCTCGGTAGCCTTCCACCACCGCCGTCGCTGTCGCGGCTTTTCCTTGTAGCCTCCCTGTAGCCTCCCCGTCAACCTATCTCCTTATTTCTTTTCCAGATCTTGCTAGATTTATGAAATCGGTTGCCCTCTATTGAACGCCCGGAGCTTCTTATTCAGGCGGATTATCTCAAGCAGAAATTTAAAAGAGAGTTTTTGTCGCCTCATTTTTAGAGGATTTGAACTCGATCTAGCAAGAGCTTTCATATAAAATTTAAGCTCCCTGATTTTTCTTTGTGTATAAGAGAATTTGAGTTGGAGTTAATCCTGGGATTGAGTGATCCTTCCCTAAACTGTCGGCGTCATTGAATGGACGACAGAATATAGCCAGACAAATCCGCTCTGATCCTCTCTGTATTTGAAATTCTAATTAATGAGATTTACTTTTAGGATTAACACACATTGATTTTGATATTGATGGTAAAATTAGGGAGAAAAAACAAGGGATTAGTTTTTTTTAGGGGGAAGATTCTGAAAATTTTGGAGCTAGAGAAGCATGGAGAAACATGCCATGTGTTCTCGAGTGTTTTTATTTTAAGTAAAGGGGTTACCTTTATCTTTACGAAGTTAGATTTTTTTTTTTTTTTTGCGGCTAATTTCTCTTCCTTCAGAAAATAAGAAGACCGAAAGGTTTCATCGTATAGAACCTGATTTTCTTACTGATGTTGGTGGATACCAAAGATGAGGCTTACATCACGTAGTTGTGGGCTTGTGGCACAACTTATGTTTTGGCAGATTATCTGGTACATCCGGGGGTACCGTGTCCCCTATGCGCGTGTACCTCACTCTCTTACAATAGTGTTAGTCTGCCATTATAATTCAGTTTTCTTTTTCTTTTTCCTTTTTAAACGCGGGGTTATATAAATAACCGAATTCATTCAAATTTGTGATAGAGTATTATTGATGGGCGATGGTTGGCGGCGAATGAGGCGTTGAGGCGGCAATGGGAGTCGGCGATCGAGGCGTTGAGGTGGACACGGCGACGGCGTTCAGCGATCGAGAAAAGGTTCTGATTCCACCAAAATGGCGAAACGGTGATTGGATCGACGATATGCTGAGTTCAGATCGAGTGATGAGTTATGTCGTTGATGATTCCGGCTTGATGAATGCGGAACGTAGTGGTAGAAAATTCATCGAACAATCTTACTGTGCCAGCAAATCAACGCAAGGTCACAGTTCTGTTGTAAATCAGCTGGAATTGTGTTTATGTAGGTTTCGGAGTGTACTGTAATCAATCAAGTTTTTTTCACAGTTCTGTTTTTGTTAATGTTGTATGAAGTGGATAAGCAGTTATGCTGTGTTGGATATCCAAAATGTTTGTACTGGATATCCACTTTGTTTGTGACTGATATCCAGCTTATGTGTACTGGTTATCCAACTGATTACATGCGTATCCAAATTTTATTTGCTGGATATCCAACTGATTTGTATTGGATATCTAATATTTTTGAGTTGTTTATATATAATTGGTGTATCAAAGAATTTTTTTTTAAAATTTTTTGTTTTTCTGTTTGTCTCATTTTTTTTGTAAAAGATAAACATATAAATGAGTTGGGGGATGATGTGATGCTGGATGATGCGATGCTGGATGATGCTTTGTGCATGGAAGTTACATTTGCTCTGAAGGGTAGGTTTTCTAACTTGTTTATATGTGTTTAAATTTTTTTTTTGCTTTGTTTATCCATTGTGTTAATACTGATTATCCGACTGCATGGTAATGGTTATCCAACCATCTCTTTTGTTTTTCTCAGAATGTGTAGAAGATAATAGCGGCAATGTATTGATAGTTGATAATGTGATGGTGGAGGAGGATGCCTTGCACAAGAAAATTTCATCTGTGACGAAGAATAATGATTTGGATGTTTTTACTTTAGTTGGCAAGACTGCAAGAAGTGAGAAAGAAGTTTATGATTTGTATAATGATCATGCCCGATTGATTGGTTTTAGTGTGAGAGTGGGAAAACAGAAGTTTAGAGGTAAGACTGATAAAGTTAGGATGAAAAAATTCTGTTTTAACCGCGAAGGATACAAGAGATCCGGTGGAAATGGTGATGTGTGCCATGAGAGGATTTATTTTCGGTGTGGGTGTCCAGCTTATATCCATTTTACTATTAACAAAGATGGCTTGTGGACCTGTACAAAGCATCTGGTTGATCACAATCATGATCTTGTGCCGAATGAAATAATTGGACTTCTTCGATCTCAACATGAAGTAGATGAAAATGATATGAAGATAATCAGAGACATGACAAGGAGTGGCATCCCGTTGGTTGATGCATATAAGTTTTTGGCAAAATTACACGGGAGAAGTCCGAACATGAAGTATACTTTGAGAGATGCCTACAATTATGAGCGTCCTAGTATTGGATTTGAAGGTGGCGATTGTAATCAGCTCATGAAGATTTTTTGGGACAGGAAGGAAACTGAAGAAGATTTCTTCTTTGATTTTGACTGTGATGAGCAGGGTAGGCTGTGTATTTTCTTCTGGAGGGATGGCAGAATGCGAAAGGATTATGATTTGTTTGGTGACTTGCTTGTGTTTGATACAACGTATCGAATAAACAGATATGGAATGATCTGTGCTCCGTTTGTGGGTATGGATAATCATAACAAGAATGTCATGTTTGGTTGTGGTTTTGTGTTAAACGAGAAAAAACCCTCTTTTGATTGGTTGTTCAAGTAGTTTTTGAAATCAATGGGAGATAAGCAGCCACAAACCATAATGACAGATCAAGCACCTTCCATTGCTGCAAGTATTTAGACATGTTTTCCAAGTTCTCGGCATCGTCTCTGTGTATGGCACATAGGTGAAAATTCAAGAAAGCGAATTGGTCATTTAAGGAACAAGCCAGATTTTATTAAGAACTTTAATTATCTGATGAAATACACTTCAACAGAAATCGAGTTCGAGGTATTATGGAGGAGGTCAGTTTGTCAATATTTTTATTATTATTTTGATCATTTCCATGATTAAGAGTGTCTCTTATTTTTTTTGTTGTGTGGGTATGTGTTAGTGGTCATGCATGATCTTCTTGATGATTACTTATAGGTAGGTAAGTTATAAAACAATGATGGATAACCAGCAAAATAATGTATGGACAAGCAGCCGCATAGATGCACAACTAAAAAAACGCATGGATAACTAATTTACAGATTGTGGATAACCACCCATTATGGCCAGATAACTAGTTTACAGATTCTGGATAACCAGTAATTATGGCTAGATAACTAGTTTACACATTCTGGATAACTACCGGTTATGGCTGGATAACTAGTTTACACATTGTGGATTACCAGCAATTATCTTTGGATAATCACCCGTTATGGCTGGATAACTAGTAGAAAGCCTTTGTTGGCTGGATAACTATATGGATAATCTAACTATTTTTATTTTTATGCATGTGTTTTATATTGTTGTGCACAGATTATTGGATGAGTATGATTGTCATGATGACAAATGGCTCAATGGTATTTATGATGTGAGGCATATGTGGTGCCCTGCATTTAGCAAAGATGTTTTTTCTGGTGGTACCTTGTCTTTACAGAGAAGCGAGTCAACAAAAAATGCAATTTGTCGTAAAATCAAGGCCACATCATCGCTTTGTGATTTCCATGGAATTTTCTCTGATGTTGTGCACTGTTGGCGGGTAGCTGTGAGGGGTGAAGATCTACGCTGTAGCTAGGGAAACATCGATTCATATCTTCCTGGTGACCCTTTTCTGGAGAGCATTCGCAGAGTGTACACAGTTGAAGCATTCCGGGAGGTTCAGCAGTTGCACAAAGATGGGATGTTGTGCAGGCATGAGCAGTTAGAGGTCTCAAATGATGGTAATATTGTGACGTACAATGTTTGGTGGTTTGGGATAGAGCACTTTAAGCATGTGGTTGTACATGACACTAGGTTACAGAGATTGTCATGCACGTGCAAGTACTACTCTGAGGTGGGCATGCTTTGTTGCCACATTCTTTGAATTTGTCATGTAACCTCTGTTGATGAGTTTCCTAAAGATTATATATGTATGAGATGGACAAAAGGTTATGGTGCCAGGTCAAACATAGCTAATGAGGGAGATGGAAAAGCTGCTGGGCCATTTCTGTGGAAGGCACTAATTATGAGACGATTTTCAGACTTGGTGTATGCAAGTGAATATAACAAAGATGCAAAGAAATGTTGTGACGAGGCGGTTGACAGGCTTAAAGAAGAACTCGGCAGTTTCATTGGTTCAAATAATGATGATGAGTCTGTAGACAATGATAGTGTTATAAAGAATCCGGCTGTAAAGAGGAAGAAGTTTGGTCCCAGGAACGAACGTCCTAAAAGTATTGTTGAGAAGGCATGTAACAAAGTCAGAGGCAGGAAAACAAATGCAAGAATTGCTGCCGACCGAACAAGAGCTTCAGTTGCATCTGACCTGCATTATCAAAGTATGCCATTTCCTTATCCAAAGGGAGCTGCTCAAGATTATTCAGGCTCAGGAAGTTTTGCTGCTGTGAATGCTTCCCATCAAAGCATGCCATCTTTGAACGTAAATTCTGGTGGATTCTCATTTGCTAATCCAAGTGTAGCTGCGCAGGATTTTTCATAGGCAGGGGCTTCCACTTCTGTGAATGCTTCTAATCAAAGTATGCCATTCATCAACCAAAATTCCGGTGGATTCTCATTTCCAATTCCCAAGGGAGCTGGCCAGGAGTTTCAAGGCGCAAGCACTTCCGCTGCTGTGAATGCTTCTCATCAAAACATGACATTCATGAATCAAAACTTTGGTGGGTTCTCATTTCCTAACCGAAGGGAAGCTGCCAGGGAGGCTGGAGCGCAGCGTTTCTTCAACAAGATGTTTTATTAGTATTTTAACTTGATGTTGAAATGAACAGTATTGATGGTGTAAAGATTTTTATTTAAAAAGTATTATTTATTTTAAATTGCAGTATTATACAACCAGTTTGAACTGGTTATCCATTTTGTTTGTACTGGTTATCCAAGTGGTTATTTTAATTGGTTATCCGTTGTGTTCATGGTGATTATCCAACCTGTTTGAACTGGTTATCCAAGTTGTTTGTACTGGATATCCACTCATTTGGTTTGTATGCCTATTGAACTTGTTTGTACTGGATATCCATTTCGTTTGTATTGGATATCCAACTCGCCTGTACCGGATATGCAACTTTAAATGCATATAGATATTACAAAAAAATACATGAACACGTTGAACACGCTTTCTTCACAAATAATATCATTGGATAACCAGCATAGATAATCTGGATAATTAGTACAAAGTCCTGGGATAACCAGTAATAAGTTAACAAGGGAAATATATATTTTTTTAAAAAAAATCCCTAAAAGTGTGTTCATGTCTCCCAGAAGTAACATGCTCTAATGATGAAACTGGTTTCTAGATCCGGCGATGTACTTGAGTGTGTGATTTTCTTGGTAGGAACACTATACAACAGCAAATGTCGATTATCGTATCCTTTGAGAATGAACTGTCCCGCTGGAGATGATTTGTGGCTTAGAAACACTGGATAAAGCCAATCATGACGGAAATGTAATCTGTGTGGAACATGTGTGTTCACATTTGGGAATTCATGGGTCTGAAATATGCAATCCCATGTGGAAGTATCTGGATCCCATGCCCACATCTCACAGTGATGATTCTGAGTAATGTGGTACTCATCTATAACACACATAGTCCCCTCGAAGTCCAATATTTTCACTTGGAGATTCATATGAGAAGGATAAGTGGGGTTAAAGAAGATTGGAGATGGAGGGCAGTTTATGGTTTGGAATTGTTGAGTGTGGTAGTCAAACACGACCAGCAACTCTTGAGGTGTTGCTATTTCAGAGGATAGTTTGTCTACATGCCAGTACACGAATCTATCAAACCAGGTTTCGTCAGATACAAGGCGAGGACATACATTGCAAAGTGTTTTCCATTCCCCTCTACGAATACTTGAACAACTTTGAAAAGAAAAAATGCAGCCTTGCATGTTTTTTCCATCGGCAATAAGGGCCATGAAAACGTAAGTTTTTGAGGATGATACGTACCCAAATGCTGTTTTACAATTGCTGAGAGGGACATCATATGGCCATTCAACTGTTGCAAGTTGTGTTGTCTTTGGGTCAAGAATTTGATTTGAGAGCTGGTTTGCAGACAGACCAAATCTGTGGTGATAGGGATGATTTTATGGATGCCGTCGTCACCCATCGACATCTCTTCTTGCAATCGTATGTGGTTGCATGGGTTATCCATTTGCACTTTTATGTTGGTGGCGATTAGTTTGTCTTGCAACAGGTGACCTTCTTGGCTTGTTTGAGTGAAAACAAGGATGTTGTTTTCACTTGCAGGGTAGCTCATCTCACGTTTTTGAAGAACAAATTCTTGTCTTTTCGTCATTTCCTCCCAAGCTTTGCTGACACGATGGAACTCACCAATCTTTTCCAATGAGAGATTAATGAACATATTATCAAGCATATCGTGATGGATATATTCATGGTAGCTGGGGGACATTTGTTTGGTTGTGGAATTTGAGGAAATATTTTCGTTTTTCATTTTTTTTTCTGACTGTTGGATGTTTTGGATGCTCAAATTAGGCGTTCTGGTGTATGTGCAGATGAGGGAGTTTTATAGAAATGCTCTATGTGGAGATGTCATGGAGTTGTATAGAAATGCTGTATGTGAAGATGAGGTAGTTTATAGAGAGGTAGTTTGACGGATTAACTACCCATGCAGTCCTATCTTTTTTCACAAATCAGTATCTTCTCACTCTCTATTCATTAACCGTCATTGTTATAATCAAGAAACTCATTTAATGACAGTTATGTAACTGATCCTCCTTATTCAATCCACTGCATGTAAAAACGTGTGGCTCTGTAACTACCCATTAGATCATGGTGGATGTACTCTGCACAAACATGAGCATTTTCAGTTTTCTTTTTTTATTTTCACTCCCTCAATCTTTTAACTTCTATTTAATTACAAAACGTATGACTTTTCAGTTATACACAGTAACATGCTCCACACTGTGGATAACCAGTATGGACATAGTGGATAACCAGTGTTCCCACTATGGATAACCAGTTTAAAACAGCTGGATAACCAGTGTTGACACTATGGACAAGCATTTTTCATAAATAATAAAAACAAAGTGAATTTTATACCCATAAAAAGGGAGAAAGCAGGTGAATGGTTGAAGGAATGGTGCATTATAAAAAGAAAACCGTTTTCCTTTCTCTCTATCCCACACACTCAATTATGATTGAATGACGTTTTTGGACGGATTCTAAGCGATAATTATTATGATTGCCCGGCCGCCGTTTGGAAAACGTGCGCACTAATGGGGCAGGTTTGCCAGAATTTGGGCAGGATTCTGAAGCGGGTCGCGTTCCCGGGTCAGGTTTGGCCCGCGAGTTAAGTCAGACAGCCTGCCCCTCATTCAGCCGGGCCGTTTAGTTTATCACGGGGGAATTTATACAAGTAATTTGTGTCTCCTCTTAACGCAATAACACACTCTCCTTACACACACACTCTCCTCACACACACACGAAAAAAGGATTACCTTAGCTACATTGGCATATTCGGCGGGGCGGTGCAGCCGGGGCAAGTTGGTGACCTGCGATTCCGGTAGCCGCGGGAGTCGTTTAGTTTATCATGGGGGGCAAAGCCCCCCAATGAATATGCCGTTTGGATTGCAATATTGAGGTTTTAGATAACAAGTATAATCTCATGGATAATCAGGTTAAAAACTGTACTTAAATTTTTTTTTTACTGGATAATCACTACAAAACATTCGGATAATCAGGTGTAACAAGATGGATAACTGGTACAATGATCATGGATAACCATTACAAGCGGTTGGATATTGCTGCACATTGGCTGGATAACTAGTACAAAAGTCCTGGATAATCAATTCAGAGCATTGGATAATCAGCAAAGAAATATTGGATAAGCAGGATAACATCATAGGATAAGCAGTTTAATAAAGAAGTAGAAAGACCAAGAAATTGGGACACTCAGTTTTTGTTGTCTGGGAATTTACAGAAATATTTGGACAACCAAAATACATTGTCTTGTTATTTTCTTATGGATATTTTCTTCTGTTATGTCTTTTTGGATAATCAGGTTAAAGAATGTACTTGTTTTTTTTTTTTTGCTGGATAATCACTATAAAAAATTCGGATAATCAGGTGTAACAAGTTGGATAACTAGTAGAAAGATCATGGATAATCATTACAAACGGTTGGGTAATATAACAGGATGGCCAGTAAACAGTTGTTGGATATCAAACACTTTAGGATCAACAGTCAATCAATTATACAAGAGAACATAATGACAGTTCATTTAACCCATCCATGAATTTTTCTGTCATTGTAGTAAGATTTGCTGCTCAAATCAACATGATCTGGAATTTCTTTTTGTTCTTCTTCAGCAATATTTGTATAGAACTGGTGCATTGCTTCGAGGATTTTGTCCTTATTTTTGTTGGATGGGTGCATAAGGATTTTTAACATGTATTTCCACCGGTACTCTTTGATGTTTCCTGTGTAGAAATCCAAAGTAGTACCGTCCTCGTACTCACCACCATCATAACACTCCATGTGGTGCATTGTGTATATTCCACAATCTTCCGCATTCGACGTTTTGTCCTTGTGTGATGGTAGCGTAACCTCTGTCAAGGTGTACTGAGCAGTGACCAGTTCTATGTGTGGAAACACGCATTGAAGGTACATTTGGAAGAACCGAAACTGTGATGCCATAAAATCCAAGGATCAGTAAAATGCCATGGATAATTCTTAAAGTATGACGATCATTTTGTATCTTTTTTCCTCTTACAAGTAGATCTTTTGTTGGCTTGTAGTAGTCTAGATCTTTTGCATGAAGATTGTTGAATGCAAGCACTTTCTTTTCTTCAACCAGCAACACATACAAGAAGTAATGGTCTCGGTTGTGTACTGGGAAGTAGATCTGATTTTTCACATTGAAGGGGGAAATCATATGAAAATTTTTTAACAGCCAGTGATAGAAAGAGTGAAGGAGGTGAAAGATGTTGCTTACAGCTTTTGCCGCTATCAGGGATGCTACACTGAGGCCTTGTTCTTCTAGTTCAAGAGCCAACCTCTCATAGAATATAAACTCTAATTCTTCTTTGTTACTGCCCGGTTGGTTGTATCGACTGATTGTATCCTACGTTATTGTTTGAGGTGGTTGGAAAATGATACAATGATCAGTACAATGGTTGAAAAATGCAGTAGAAAACAAGGATCGGAATCAAGAACATACAAGGTCAACCAAAAGTACCTTAGATGACAAACAAGAATGAATGGATAACCAGTTCAACTCTGGTGGACAAGCATTAGTAACAAATTGGATAATAAGTGTTAGTGGTCATGCGTGATCTTCCTGATGATTACTTATAGGTAGGTAAATTATACAACAATGATGGATAACCAGCAAATAATGTATGGACAAGTAGCTGCATAGAAGCACAACTAAAAAAAAGGCATGGATAACTAGTTTACACATTGTGGATAACCAACAATTATGGTCAAATAACTAGTTTATGGATTGTGGATAACCACCCATTATGGCTGGATAACTAGTTTACAAATTCTGGATAGCCACCCGTTATGGCTGGATAACTAGTAGAAAACCTTTGGATAAACAACTTGCAGACATGTGACAAGTATTTTACCAGGGCGGGATAAACAATAAGGGTTTAGTTGACTTACAAATGAGGAAACACCAAAGAATATCTGTCTTGGGGAGTCACTCTTAGCTTCTTCTTTGTTTAGGATGACAGCCCAAGCATCTATGATGCTGTTTTCTATCCATGTCCCTTCCCTTGTGGAATAGAATGCTGTCTTGTCTGCCCAAACGATTTTTCCAAATTCAAACAAGAAATTCCTGCATAGAAAAAGTAGTCAAATAGACAAATAGTTAGAAAACTGGTAAGTTTTTTATCCCTGGGTAAGGATGGTGACTTTTACCCTGATTTAACTATTTCTTCTTGTCTCTGCAAGAGAGCGAAGTCTATCAACAGGGCTTCTTCTTGGGTCATTTTCTTCTTCTCCTCTGTCAACTGTATGAATTTTTTCTTGTTTTTCTTCTGCAGCATGAACGGCGACCTGAACCATTCGGGCAACCGGTACTCTTGGTGGATTTCTCCTCTTAGGTTTTCATTGAGGATCCTAGGACAAAACAAAAGAGAGTTAGTATGTAAATTCGTCTTTCTATTTTGTAGTGAGGAGTCATAGTGGATCAAACTTACTTTTCCACTGTCTTTATTAACCCTTCATTGAGTACATCAGCTTTCTTTGAGATTGCAGGCGGTGGCGTGGTACACTCATTTTTGTCCAGCATGAGTAGACCACCCGTGGTAGAAGCAATATTCCAATCGGGTGGAATTATACTTAAAGGGACTGCTTCAACCACCTTTGGGTTTTTCTCAACTTGTTCTACAACAGCCACAATAATCTCTAGTTTTTTGGTATCATTTAATGATTCTGAAGCTGGTGCACTGGCCCTTCTTATGATTTCATCGATGGAAGGAGTGGGATTCTTTGTTTCGTCGAATGCAGATGGTACTGGATATTCTTCTGCTTCTATAGTCTCATTGACATCTTTATCCAAATCAACACTTCCTGTGATATCTTCCTGAGTATTCTTCTCCTGGGTTGTCTCGTAACTGTCTTCCTGACTGGAGTAGATACCCAGGTTAAAGTGTGGGATAGTTGGGTCTTTGAATACTTTTCTTTTCCTGGTACCAGTGCTTCTCGACCTTTTGGTATAGGTGGATGTCACACCTGAATCCCGGCCAATGGAATCTTGATGGGATCTCTTCTTTTCTGTTGTGGAGATATTCATTGCATGTTCTGCAGTACAAAGTTGGAATGTTGGATAATCAGTACGAACATACATATATATTAGACACATTGGATAACCAGTTTAAAGGAAGTGGATAATCAGTTCAAATAGGATGGATAATCGGCTGGAACACAATGGATAGCCATTTAAAGGGAAAAAAGGGGTTGGATAAGTAGTGCAAATTAGACAGATTGGATAACCAGTTCAAATGAAGTGAATAATCAGTTCAAATAGGCTGGATAATCACAGGAACACAATGGATAACCATTTAAAGGAAAAAAAGGGGTTGGATAAGCAGTACAAATTAGTTGGATGAAAAGTACAATCACACCAGACAAGTATTTGTTTCATTAAAAAAATATTCATTACCTTGTGGTTGAGTTTGTTGTTCATCAACCACCACTTCTTTTGAAGTAGGCACGGATTTCCCCACTGGAAGAAAATTCTCATCATTTGTCTGGCTCAATTGATCCAGTCCCTGTGCCCCTTGTGGTTGAGTTTGTTGTTCATCAATCACCACTTCTTTTGAAGTAGGCACAAATTTCCCCACTGCAAGAGAAGCCTCATCATTTGTCTGGCTCAATTGCTCCAGTCCTGTGCTTTGTCAATTTCAATGTCTTGAAAATTTGTGGGATTAATTGGAGCTTGTACAGTGTTGTCATTAGTTTGTTGGTGTTGTTGTTGTTGTTGTTGGTCAGCTACTTGTCGTTGCAGCTGTTCTATGATTGTTGCAAATCTGCTTTCAGTAGACTTCCATGCCATCTCGCACAATTCACAAATCTGTGCATCTTGGAGGTCTTGCTGGTCTTGCTGCTGCTCTTGTTCTTGTTGCGTTGTACCTGAAGGCGGAGGCATCTTTCTACTCATCGACACCATTGCATCTGTTAGGATCTTGATTGTTTGCTTTGCTTGTTCATCTGGTTCGATTTTTAACTCCATTTTCTTCTCACGAATGTCTAAAACAGTTTTGCTCATCGTGATAATCAATTGGTAGAACTTTTCATAAAGAGCAGCAAGGTCCTGCAAAAGTGAATGTAGTTAGTGGAATGTGGAGATGCTAGGTTGGATACGTAAGTTTGATCTGAAAAAAATGGTAGAACAGTACATAGACTTGCTGTGTGTTGGGTTTCCCTGTGTATCCTCCTGTGATTCAGCCTCTGGTTGTTCATCTCGGGATGCTGCTGAGGACGGTTTCTTGAGACGTTCAAGTGTCTGGACATCTGTGAAATTACTTCCCTGAAGTCTTATTATGTCGTCCAACATCTTTTGATCCCAAGATTTGATCACAGGGAATGACCTCGGATGTGCTCTCTCATACTCACACCTGTCAAGGTAGCACAACTAACAAAAAAAAAGTTGGTGTTAATGATATCAGTACAAGCAGTAGAAATTAGACAGATTGGATAACCAGTTCAAATGAAGTGGATAATGAGTTCAAATAGGCTGGATAATTGGTAGGAACACAATGGATAACCATTTTAAAGGGAAAAAAAGGGTTGGATAAGCAGTACAAATTAGTTGGATGACAAGTACAATCACATCAAACAAGTACAAGCAAATTGGATAAACATTGCAAGCAATATGGATAACTAGTAAAATTTGTACGGATATAGTAAGTACCAGGAAAAAAGTGATTGGTCCAGTGAATGGTTTCCCGTCGTGGTGACTTTTGCATCCTTTCACCAGTGCATCAATCACATATTGACACCAATTGTATTGTGTCACTTCATTGATGTTCACGAGGGACTTTAGGATGTTCATTGTGATCCTAGAACTGGTGTTTCCATGTAGGAATATGCTCACAACGAAGACCAGGAAATCTTGTTTGAAGTGATCACCAAAATCTTTTTGACCAGCAATTAATTGTGCCGCCGTGGATCTCGTTGGCAGGAATTTATTACTGTATCCCATTCTTTTCTTGAATGCATCCACCATCTCAGCGTGGTCCGTTATAGCGGCATCATTCTGTTTGAATTCTTCCACTGGTTTGGGTCCACAAGGAAGACCAAGTACAGCAACAACATCTTCCTGTTTGATATCCAGTACATTCTTCCCATTCAATGGGACTTCTTTCGCACCGGTCTGAAAATTGTTTACCAGAAAATTACATAAGACTGCTGGAATATTTTTGATTTTGAGATCCAGCAAGGTGCCAAATCCCATCTCTGATAGCCTGCCTTTGTAGTTGTTGATAATCTACCGCATCTGGCTCTTCCTTAAGATCTGTTGGTTTATTGATTTCAGAGATGAGTTGGAAGAGATGGTTCGGTGTCATCCTCGTCTCAAATTTCTTGACAGAATCTTCAGAACTGATTGACTGTGGATCTTGACCAATCATCAGTTTGTTGTTCTCAGGTTTCGTTCTTTTCTTTTTGGGCTTTTTATCATCGTTGTCATCAGCAACCACAAGTTGCTTTGGATTTCCTGTCGGTGTGCTCTTCTTCCTCTTTGGTTTCCTCCACAAGTTGTGGGGCCTTGGAGTTTGTACAGGGGACTGTTCTTCTTGTTCTTCTTGGGTTGATTTTTTTTTTTAATATGGTCAGTGTTCCTTCAGGGAGCTCCATTATTTTCTCTGGTTCAGGATCCGGTGATCTCTTTGGGTTGCAGTTGAGGTCGTGGCTTGCGCTGATCCACTCGTGCCTATATTTTGTTCTAGCCTCCTTTAGGGCACTGTTGGCATTGCACAATCAGTAAGAAGTCAGTGGGTCAGTGGACAAAATAGCAGGATATGAAAAGGAGTAGTAATCAAAAAAGGAGTAACCAGTATTAAATGGGTGGATAACCAGCAAATAATGTATGGACATGAAGCCAGATAAAAGCACATCTAAAAAAAACAATGGATAACCAGTTTACTCACTGCGGATAACCAAGTTAAAATGGGTGGATAACCAGAAATAAAGTTTGGACAAGCACCCCATAGCACACACGCAGGAAAACTTGGATAACCAGTTCAGATGTATAGTGGATAACCAGTTTAGTTTGTCCATGCCACATAGAATAAAATGTAAAAAAAGCATGGATAACCAGTTTACAACTTGTGAATAACCACTTTACAACTTCTGGATAACCACTTTACAACTTGTGGATAACCAGAATGAAATAGGTGGATAACAAATGTCAGTATGAAATAGATGGATAACCAGAGATTATGGCATGGACAACGATCACATAGCATACGCAGGAAACCATGGATAAATAGTTCAGATCTAGTGGATACACACAAGATATTGCTGGATAATCAATACAATAGGATCCCGGAGTAATATACTTACCAGTGAAGCATGTATAGATGAAGGAGAGCTTGAGATGGCCGGAGCTAGGGTTTCTAGCCGTCGTCTGTGTGTGTGTATGTGGGTTTGTGAAAGAACAAACTGATAAAAGGAAAAAACGCAGGAGAAGATGAAGTTATCGAAATCGTCTTCCAGCGTAGGTTTTCCGTCGATTTTGTGTAATTTTGTGGTGGTAGTCAATTTTGTATTTGCCCTAAAATGGAGAGTTTCCGTCGACTGTGTGTTTGTGTGTGTTTATGCTTGAGGATGAAATGGATGAAAACAATTTTCTGTGTGCATTTAATGTAAAGGTAAAAATAGTTGAGCGCGTGGTGCACGTGTGTTTAGTGGGGGGTATACGGTACACCCGGGTGCACTGGATACTGGATACGGACTCTTTGTTTTTCTTGCCTCCGTATTAACACAAAAAGTCCAGGTTTGTTGTATGATTATATAAAAAATTTTAGGAATTTGGTGATGCTTTTAGTATTTTCTAAGTATGGCATATTTTACACTCCCTCCGTTCCCGAAAAATAGTCCAGTTTGAAAATGTACAACTTTTTTAATTTGGTCAACACACCAAATGTATAACTTATTTTTTGCCCTTAACTTCCACTAATGCCCCTTATAGTTATTTCAATAAAAGTTAACTACATATGCATTTATTTTACAACTTAAATTTGATCAAAATTTTTATCTCAAAAAATATTGACATTGGATCTTGATGGAAAGATCGTTACATAGATTAATTTGATATATATAACACATTTTTTTAATTATTCATGTATTAAAAGATATAATGATTTGAAAAAATAGGAGAAAACTAAAAAAAATGAAAATCAAAGGAAGTGGACCTTGTTTTCCTTACCACTACTCTTTTGGACATTTAAGTCATTTTAATTCAATTAAATTTTGACTTTTGTGAAACTGAACTAATTTTTTGGGACAAACTTTTTTATTAAACTGGACTATTTTTGTGGGAGGGGGGAGTATTATTGTGTAATGCTTTGTTCAATCTTGTTTTCTGGTTTGTTTTTTGATTGGTACACAAACAGTTTTCCGATTACATTTTTGCATATTAATATGTTTTTTTTTTTTGGTCGAAGTGGCATATAAGTGTTGTTTCTTCATAATATAATTACTTTCAAATCTAGCAGCTTCTTAACTTACAAGCAAAAAGCCTTAATGGCGGGTGGTTCTACAAGAAGTCGTCGGTTGGATTTTGAAAATGAGAAGAATTATGGGAATGAAGAAATTTACAATTATAAGACGGGCAATGGCATTGAGGTGGCTGATTTGAATGTTCATGAGAACGACAAAAAGTGACGAAGTTGATAAGGGTAATAATATTGAGCCTGCTGATTTGATGCTTGATGAGGATGATGTGCAAGATGAAGAAATTTTAACTATTGGTATGGAGTTTCAGACGGAGAAAGAAGCGCATGATTACTATTTAGCATATGCTAGAAAAGCCGGATTTGGAGTAAGGTGGAGCGAAAGTCATCATGATAAATATGGTAATGTGATTAGTTGGACTTTTGTTTGTTCTGCTGAGGGTAAAAGGCCAGAAGATCCTAATGTTATTAGTTGGACTTTTGTTTGTTCTGCTGAGGGTAAAAGGCCAGAAGATCCTAGAAGTGTATTTGTAAAAACACCTCGGGCAGAAACAAGATTTGGTTGTATGGCTAGAATGAAAGTTAGTAGTAGAATGGCTGGAAAGTTTCAAGTGATTGAATTTGTGAAAAATCACAATCATACCCTTACAACTCCTAAGAAAACACATTTCCACCGAAGTCATAGAAAAATTTCTCCTGATATTGCAGAAGAAATTGAAATCGCTAATGATGTGGGAATTCTGCCAAAAGCATCCCATGAATTGATGGTGAAGAAAGCAAATGGAATAGACAATCTTGGATTTATTCTGGATGATTACCAAATTATTTAAGAACCAAGAGAACAATGCAAATGAAAGAGGGGGATACTGGTGGAGTATTAGAATACTTGCATAGAATGCAATGTGAAGATTCTAATTTCAAATACATGATCCAAGTCGACAAAGAGGATTTGATAACCAATATATTTTGGTTAGATGCAAAGATGAGAAGTGATTATTCAAATTTTGGTGATGTTGTTAGTTTTGATACTGTAGAGAATCGTAATCTCCAGCTGCAATCTAATCAAATTGAAAATATTGATTAGACGGTTGTTTTATCTTACACTTATCTTGGAGAAGATATTGGTCAAACTATTTGTATTTAAATTTGAATGTAATATTTAAATTAGTAGGATACCTTTGTATATAAATAGGAGTTAGCATCTTGATGTAAAGTTAGATTATCAGAACATAATCAATGCCTTTGATATTCTCCATTTCAATTCTGTTCATGGTATCGAGCAGAAAATCCTAAACCAACCTTCTGCATCTATATATATATATATATATATATATATATATATATATATCTATATTTTCCCTCCCTCCCAATGCCCACCAATATGGAACTTTCCAATCAAAAGGACTCTCTGGTTTTGCAATCTGTAGATCATCCAGGGATGATTCTCGTAACCTCTCAGTTGACAGGTTCAAATTACTTTTCATGGTGTCGCTCCATCAAAATTGCACTTGGGGCAAAGAATAAACTCGTGTTTATTGACGGTAGCTGTGCCGAACCAGAAGAAAATTCTTAGCTTTATGAGCAATGGAAGCGTGTTGACTGTATGGTGGTATCTTGGTTGCTGAACTCGATCGCCAAGGACATTGTTGAAGCCTTTCTTTTGGCTACTAATGCACGCGAGCTTTGGGTCGAATTGGAGGAACGATTTGCCATCTATAATGGTCCTCTCCTTTATCAAATCCAAAGAGAAATCGCTACGATTAGCCAAGGTACTGATTCTATCATTTAGTGCTATACTCGTTTGAAAAATTATGGGATGAATTGCAGTGTCTCATGCCAATTCCTGCATGCAACTATGGTACTGCTAAGATTTTGTCTGATTTTGATGCAAGCAATAAGCTTCTGTAATTTTTTATGGGGCTCAAACCCATTTATGATGCTGTTAAAAATCAAATTCTCTTGCTTGAGCCTCTGCCTACTGTTAACAAAGCCTATGCAATGATCTTGAAAGTTGAAAAACAAAAAGAAGTGAATGTGACCTTTATGGATTCAAGCGAAAATAGTGTCATGTTCTCTAAGTCTTTAGGAGGAAACTTTGCCAAGAAAAGGGAGAATAGAAGGAGATCCGACCTGAAATGTGATCACTGCTTCATGGAGGGCCATATCAAGGACAAATGCTTTAAGCTTCACGGCTATCCTGACTGGTGGAAGGGGCAGAAAGATCAAAAGTTTAAAAATCCAGCCAAGTCCATCTCTTTGTCAAACTCAAATCATGCTTATGCTGCAGCTGTTGGGGAAACTCCTCTTGATATGCACCCTGAAAATTGGAAATCTGCTCTGGCCAGTTTTGTGCAACAAGAAATTCATAAGGCTGTGAAAGGCAAAGGAATCATGGAATCTGATGGCCATGGTATGGTCAACATGTCTCATTTGGCTGACTTTGCAGGTATATATCTATCCTTTATACTTAGTGCAGCTGCTTGTATTAGTATGAGTTTTTGGATTGTTGAAAGTGGTGCTACAAGCCACATGTGTGCAGATATTTCACTTCTTAACCCTTGCACAGCCATAAAATCTATCACTCCTGTTTTTCTACCAGATGGTACCATTAAACAGGTGACACACTCAGTGGACGTTACTCTCAGAAACCAACTTATGTTGAACAATTGTCTTCACATTCCAAGTTTTAAATTCAACCTTCTGTCTGTTAGTAAACTTGCTAGTCAGAAAATAATCGGTTTCTTTTTCTCTGCTACATATTAGATCTAAACTCTTTTTCTGCAAAAAGGATTCAGTCCTTCCATCAGAATTTTTTCTTGCATGTTTACAATCCTAGCTTTTCTTGTTTCGTGAATAATGCTATGTCTAGTACAAGTGCAAATAAATGGCACTGTCGTTTTGGCCATCCTTCAGCTCTTGTACTGAAACACTTACAACAAATGAATCAGAATGTT